CATGGAGTGTGCAGCCGCCCTCGGGGGCTGCACGTGGCCCCAAGAACAGCTGTTACTCAGGCGTCAGGCAGGGCTGTTGGGGCTGCAGTCTTGGGAACCTCACCCAAATCGGTGTGAGAAAAGAGGAACCTTTGGCGCCTGTGATCAAAGGGAGAGCTGAGGTGGGTGGGTGGGACCCAGCTGCGGGGGGGGGGGGGGGGGGGCTGGGTCTGCGGACGCCTGGAAGCAGGGATCCTTGGTTCTGTCCCTTCTCTCCGCTGGCTTCCTTCGCGTGGCTGAAACTAGGGCAGCTCCTGGGGTCCCCTGAGGGAGCCCCGACACCGCTGGCTGCCGGCGCACACGGGGCGGCCAGGGCCAGCCGGCTCGGCCCTTGTGTGTCGCGTGCGCACCCCGGGGGCTCTGCGGGCAGCTGGCAGCTCTCTGGAGAAGCACATGGTGAAGTTAGGGGAAGGGCTTTTCCTCTAGGAAGGGAAGCGCGGTCTAGACACATGACAGCACAGATGTCCCCGGCCGGCACTGCACGTTCCTTTGTAGCCAGCTGTGCTTCGGTAATTGGAGATGACGTGTCATTGAGCTTTAGACTCTCAGGAAATGGCTGCGACAGCATCCTTTGAGCAGTGGACGAGCCCAGTGTGGGGGCTGCAGCCGAACTGTGTACCAAGTGCAGGGCGGGGCAGGGGCAGCGAGCCCCCTCCCCCTCCAGCCTCGGCCCGAGGCCGGGCCGGGCGGGCAGTCAGGGGCCAGAGCGAGCAGCCTGTGGCTGGAGGTCAGGCCGAGGCCACCGCCGTGGATACAGCCTGACTCCCTGGGCCAGCGTGGGTCGGTCCTGATGTCGTCAGGACAGCAAACGCGCTCTGCAGATGAGGAAGGCTCACTCCTGGAAGCTGACTTGCCGCAGGCCCATGGTTTGTTAGTAGCAAGAAGGCCTTGTCCCCTCTTCCCACTGAAGGAGGCAGACAGCGGCCCCGGGGGGCTGAGGAGCCCCAGCTGCCCCCAGCTGCCCCCAGCTGCCCCCAGCTGCGGGCCGGAGGACCGCTCCGCTCCTTCGTGGCTGTGCTCGCACCCCTTCTCTTGAAATAGCAGGGTTGCTGCTTTGGAGCATTTCCCTGTAAGCTGGCTTTGGAATCTCACATACTGTGCCTCCCCCCTCCAAAGTAAGGTGCACCTCCAGCCTCACAACAAGCACCTCCGCGACCCTCACTGAAGACGCTGGCCCTGCTCCGGGCTCTGAAGGCGGAGCTCCGCTGGCAAGCCCCGCCCCAGCACTCCCCAGGCTCCGCCTCCTCGGGAACTTGACTTTCATCTCAGAGGCGGAAATGCGCCTCGACTTCCCTTGTCTGCCTCGCTCAGTGTTTCCTCAGCGCCGGCAAGTGTGTGAGCACTGGGGACTCCTGCACCCGATCGGCGAATGCAGGGCCACCCCTGGGTGATTCCGATGGGATATGCTCTCTGACCCTGCGCCCCAACTTTATTTATTTTTAAAAATATGTTTATTGATTTTAGGGAGAAAAGGAGAGAGAGAGAGAGAGAGAAACGTCGACAGGTTGCCTCCCGTACGCGTCCCGACCGGGACTTGGACCCGAAGCCTTTCGGTGGACAGCGTGATGCTCCAACCAGCTGAGCCGCACCCAGCTTTAGAACCCCCGCCCCCCGCCCCCAGGGGGATGCGCGGCCATTGCCCCTTCAGCCGACGCCACTGAGGAAACCGAAGTGCGGCTTTTCTTGTTTTAGGAATAGCATGATCTTTCAAGATTGGGGCATAATTATGGAGAACCGGGATTTTTCTTTACCCATAATGCTGTAGTCTTTGCATCTGCTTGTTATTTGCTGACGTTTTTGATGCCTGTTGGGAATATCCTTCCGGTCTCAAGCAGCATCCTTGGGGTGTGGCTGTGACCCCGAAAAACCATGTCCAGTGCGGGGAGCGGTGAGGCACCTCTTGCCTCATCCTGGGACTGTGAGCTTTGACTGGGGACCACGGTCACAGAGGTGGGCTCCCGGGTCCCATCCACTCCGTGAATGCTGCCAGAGCTTGTTATGGGGTGCTGGTTGTTAGGGTGACGGGGCCGGCGCCGTCGTCGGGGGCTGTTCCGGGGCGGATTGTTCCGGGTGTGGAGCGGCAAAGGTTTCGCCCGCGCGGACGTCGGGAAGCTCACTCCTGGACGCTGGCTGTGCATGCACAATCCCCGCCCCCCAGGGCGTCTGCAGCGGCTCTTCTGAAGACCCCACATGCGCACGGGGTCTCCGTCTCCACCGATGGGCCACGCACAAGGTCAGGTCGTGTGAGTCGTTCTACCTCCAGTGTCTTCTCTGTCAGCATCCGCTTCCCTTGGGGAAATGAAAGGAAAAGATGAAATTAGCGGAGAAAGCATTTCACATCTCTCCCAAAAATGAATCCAAACACTTCCACACTGTGTTCTGGTGCCGATGACACATTGCAACGCGCTGCGAGGGGCTGTTTCTACATCTGTCCCAGAGAAAGGGCGCAAAGGCGGGGAAACGCCTGTGCAGGCCCGAGCGAGGGGCGCATCCAACGCAGCCGCGCAGCCAGGCCCTGCTGCGGCCTGGTGGCCCCCTTCCTTCCTTCCCTCCCTCCCTTCCTTCCCTCCTTCCTTCCTCTGCCCAGCACAACCTTTCCGACCAGCACAGGCTTTCAGAACTGCAGGACCCCGAGGCTGTCGGAACGCGTGCGCCTGCATCAGCTGGGGTCCACGCAGGAGAGGTGGCCCCATCAGGCTGCTGCGAAGGGGTCCCCAGCCAGGAACTATCAGGGAGAGCCCGAGGGGCGGGCTGGGGGGCCGGGCCATCCCGGCTCGGCCCTCTGGCCCTTCCTGGGGGGCGGGGACCCGGCCGCGCGGCAGGGCCTGTGCTGAGGCCCATGTGCTCAGCCAAGGTCAGTCACAACTCCCTTTCAGCCGCCGGGAGCCAGTGGTCGGACCTGGGCTTTGGGCCCGGCCGCCGCCCCGCCCTCGCCCCCCCGCACTGGGGAAGCCAGAGCCGCCTATAGAACTCTGCCTACCCCACGTGGAGGTGTGGGGGCATCTCCAGGGGGCGCAGCTGGCTCCCAGGGCCACGGGCAGTTCTCCCCAAAGGGTGCAGCTGTGAGCTGTTGGTGGCCGACACCCACAGTGGCTGCTGCAGCGGGTGCCCCGGCCCGGGAAGCGGCCTGGGAGAGGCTCCCACTGGGCCTGCCAGCGTCGTGAAGACCAGTCAGGGCAGCAGAGGACTTGCTGGTGCCTCTGCCCACCTTCCCTACATCAAAGATGTGCACCTAAGGGAGATCCAAGCCCCCCAGAGGGCGCCTGGGAGACGGGAGGGAGACTTCCGAGCTGTGCAGAGGGAGACGAGAAATGCACAGAGCAAGTCACCCTCACACTGAAGGGGCACTGAGCCGAGAGGCCCTGAGGCCAATGAGGCCCCCCGGGTGGCCGGGCAGACCCAGGACCCTCGACGTCTGGGTCAGTGCTGACCGAAGTTGAGCCGGTGCCCCGGGGCCAGCGGGCGGAGAGGGGCGGGACATCGCAGGAAGGACCCCGCACCCCAGGAGCAAGCGAGGGAACCGCAGGAGCCCAGATGCTCTGTCGGGGGGCGCCAGGGAGGACACCGGAGGTGTGTCACCGAGGGCCACCCGCCTCGGCAGTTTCCAGAGCCACGGGAGGTGTTGGAGAGTCTGGGTCACCCATGAGCAGCGACCGTTAAATGCCACAGAGTGCGGTGCCCGGCTGAATCATCTCTCTCACTCACCCTGGTTCTGCGCCTGCGGAAGGGCTGCTCTCGGTGGTTGTAGATGCTGTCTTCCCACATCTCACACGGGGGACGTGGTGCCTCCTCGGAGCCTCCGCTCCTTTTCCCACTGACAGGTGCCGAGCAGGCCCACCACACTCCACCCGTCCCCTGGCCTGACATCCCGCGAGCCGAGCCCTAGGGGGCCCCGGGGCTGCGGGAGGGGCGGGGCCCGGACCCTCAGCGGCTGTCCTCCCTCATCCCTTGGGCCTGAAGGGGACGTTCCGCAGAAACGGAGGCCAAGTGTCCTTCAGGGGTCCCCTAATACTTCACACTGACCGGGTTGTGTGGGGGCCGCGGGACAGGGGAGCAGCAAGAAGCTGGGGGGTGTCCGAGGCCGACGCCCCGCTCTGAGCTCTGCTGCGGACCCAGGTTTTCCTCATCTGTAAAATGGGACCCTCCCCTCCCCTCACAGAAAACGACACGCATCCATCAGAAAGGACTTGGGGCGCTGCTGTGCATGACCCGCGAGAGAATGTGTATCGAAGGGCCGGGAACTGCGCAAAGCTTTGTAGAAACCTGAGTCCTTTCTCAAGGATCTTCTGGAATCTCTGAGCAGGCCAGCTGTATTTCCTTCCCCTTCGATGTGTCCCGGGACGGGGTCCCAGCCTCAGGCTCAGAATCACTACGTACAGAACCGCAAGAAGGAGGCAGTCTCCCGAGGCAGCCTCCCTCGCCCGGCTCTTCGCTGGCGAACAGAGCTTCGGTTAGTGGAAAGTCGGCGGGCGGGGGAGGGGGGGCGCTGTAATTGCAGTATTAATATTTGAAAGGGGAGGCTAATAGGAGGAGTCCCTATTCAGAAACTTCAAGAAGAAGCGGGCGGGCGTGGTGAGGGTGGAGGGGCGACTGCATTTCCTGTTTTCCTTTCCGACCAGCATTGGAAAACATCGCAGGAACGCTATGGAGACCCACGAAAAAATTCCAAAATTTATTCTCTCTGCCGCCGCTGGGGCCCAGCCCGAAAGGTGGCGCAGAGAAGGGGCGAGTTTCTTTTTCAAGGGTTGGGGTTTGCAGGAGCCCAGCCCCGTGCATGTCGGGCGAAGACAGTCCTCAGAGGGTGACCTCAGCAGCGGCAGGGGCCAGGCGGCCGGGCAGAGTCTGGTTTTCATTTACAGTGGGGGCCGGCCGGCCGTGGGGAGGGGCGGGAGGGGGAGGGGGAGGAGGAGGGGCTGGAGGAGGCCCTGACTGTAACCCTGGACCCCGGCCAGTGTGCAGCTCAATCTTCCACCGAAGGCGCTGCGCTCTCCTCTGCTCCAGCCTCCTGCAGGGACCGCCGGGGAGCGTTCCTCCTCCGCTCGGGTCCCCTCTCCTGCGGAAAGAAAGGGACGCGTCACCGGGAGCGGGAAAACCATGCGCCAGGTCCAGCGTCACTGAACGCAGAAGCCCAGGGACACCCACTTCTTCAGGTTTGCTCAGGGTGAGTGTGGCTTTCCCTCGTGGTCCCAAGCCTGCGCCCAAGGAGCAAAGGCTTTCGAGCGGGTGACCATGCCGAGGCGGCTCTCAGGGGTCCCGCCCTTAGGGTCCGTTTCCTTGGCAAGTTGCAGGTCTCCGGGAGATTCGGCTGAGTTTTCCTTCTCGGCCCGTGGCCGCTGGGCTTCCCTGACTCGGCCAAGGCCGTGGGCTGCCCACAGGGGTACCTGGGCTGCCCACGGGGGTACCTGGGCTGCCGCCGCGGGGCTCACAGTGCGCGGGACGCTGCCTGCTCCTTCCCAGACTCGGTGGGAGCTGCTTTGTTAGCAGGAGCGCCCTTGGGAGAATCAAAGAGCTACCTGCTGCCTGCTCCCTGGGGAGGCGTCTCTGAGTTCTCCCAGGTGCGCCAGGCGGGTTTTCCGCCACGGGCTTCGCACGGGGCGCGGCGCGTGGAGCACATCTGTGGCCTTTGGGGGGCTGTGGTGACTTGGGTGTCTAGACTCGGGGCCAAGCCATCGGGGCTTCATCTTTTCAGGAACCTCCGCTGAAGCCTTTGTCCCCTGGGATTGCTTAGAGGCTCTGCAGGGTCAGGCGAGGAGAACGCATCCGGGGTCTGGGCCGCACGCCCAGTGGATAAGGCAGGGGCCTCCGGGCCACGGGCGGCCTGCGCTGCCCGGATGGGGGCGGGCGCCAAGCTGGGAGGCCCAGGCTGCTCCCCGGCCGGGAGGGTGGGGCTCGGCCCTCTCGCCCAGGATGGAAAGTGTTCTCTGACAGTTGCCAGCCTGCCTTGGGGACCTCGTTCAAGGGCTTACTGTGTTAGGAAATCCGTGTGGGTTGGAGCGGGGTGGGGTCCTGGGCAGGGCCCCGTGGAGTGCTGGGGACTCCAAAAATGGGCCCTCCCCAGCCGGCCCAAGGGTTCGCGGCCGGCCTGCACCCCAGGCACCAGGCGCTCCGAGCACAGGGGAGTGCCCTGCGCCCAGCGGGGCTGCAAGACTGGCGCCCCTTCCCAGGCAGGTCCTCGAGGACGGTGGGGTCCGAGGGCTCCCAGCGTGCTCAGGGCTCAGAGGATAGATCATGCCCAAACAGGGGTCCCCCGGTCCCCCCGGGGACCTGCTCTTAACACTTCAGAGACAGATGGCTTTAACTCCAAGTGGTCTTTGTTTCTAGCCAAAGTTCCACTGAGAAGCGGTTGGCTCTTGGTCATTATTGGCGCTTCCGGGGCCTTTGTGGGCCACCGATCAGGGGCGGGGTGTCTGGGGGAGCCTCTGAGGCGCGGCCCCGCGGTTTTGAAGAGGAAGGACGGGGCGGTCCCAGATGCCGGCCGGCTTGCTGAGGCCACAGGGGCCGCAGGTGGCTGAGAGGCAGGGGAGCCCTGACCGGGCCGGAGGGGCTCCTGAGCTGAGGCGCCCCTCGGCGAGCAGCGCCGCCTGCTCCGTTCCCCCAGCGGTGGTCTGTTAGAAGTGGTGGGAAACCCGGCTGCGCCCCGAGTCCCTACCAGCGGGCGAAGAGAAACCTGCTGGGCAGGTGAGCCGGCCACAGTGACCGCGCGGCTCTGTGCTCTGGCCACGCGGGCAGCGCCCTCTCTCCGGCTGCCTTGCGTGGGCCTGCTGTGGAGGGTGCCGGTGCGGGGGGTGGTGGCGAGGGGCTCTGGCGGGAGTTCAAGACCTCAGCGTGGTCACGTGGCCTTGAGAGCTTCTTGGTTGAGAGGCACGTTTTCCCTCATGGGGTCCAGATCTCCTTCCCGGCTCCCGCTCCGGGCAGCGAGACAAGCGCCAGGAGGGCGTGAGACGTGGGGTGGGCTGGAGGGGACGACTTGGGGAGGGGCCAGGGCAGGGCGGTGCCGCGGGCCGCGCCGCCTGGTTCCCAGCGGGGACCTGGAGGGTGTGGCCGCCCTACCTTCTTGGGAGGTGACGGGGCAAGCCTCTGGGACATCTGTCCCAGGCTCTTCCGACTCTTCGGAGGGTGCGTGCGTGCGTGCCACCTCCCCACGCCTGTGGCCCTGCAGGGAGCGGGTCTGCGGCGCGTGCTCGCCTGTGGGTCTAGAGGGCATTTCTGATGGAAGAAAACCATCCCTCCTGCTGAGTAGGAATTATCCTTTGTCTGCACCCCCTTTATTTCCACGGTGGAGGACTCACCGTCTCTCCTTCTGTCACTGCAGTGTCTCTGTGCCTCACACCTTAGAACCTGACACGTAGGTGGTGACACAGTGGGAGGTGGCCCTCTAGTCACCTGTGGCTCCCTGGGGCTCCTCATCTGACCTCAGCTGGAGGCGGGGAGGCCGCCGCGCGCCCCCGCGCCGCCTCCGACGCCCGTCCCCTTAGGGAGCAGGCAGCGTCTTTGCCTTTGGGGGTCAGGTCTCCCCGCGCGGTGTTCGGGCAGCGGGGGAATGGAGCCTGGTCTTCACCAGCAGGGCGCGCCAGCACCCCTTTTCCTGAGAAATTCCACACGGGGGTCTAACATTCCACGGCAGGTCGTGGACCCTGTGGCCTGCGACTGTCCTGCCGGCGGGTCGGCTGCTTCGGCCAAAAGCTTCATGTGAAAATTGGCTCTTGTCACTGTTCTCCTCGGGAGGGTTTGCCGTCTCTCAGAGAAGAGTTGGACGCGAACTCGGACGTCCTTGCTGAGTGGGGCGTCGTGGCCCAGGTGGCTTCCCCGCGTGACCTGAGGGAGCAGAGACTTCCTGGTGTCACAGCCGGGGGCCCGCCCGGCAGGAGCTGTGGGCTGCTGCAGGAGCCACCTGACACGTACAGCATTTTATTAGGAGCTGTGGCCAAGGAGGGGAAAACCCCAGCGCTTCACATTTTAGAGCTGTAACAAGTTCCTGCAAATTCAGACAGCTTTGAACTAGATGTTTGCACATAGGGTTTCTCTCTTTCCAAAGTAAGAATTCTTGGGGTAATCCTACCCTTCGCAGAAAGGACGCCCTTTGTCCTCTCTGAACCTGGGGTAATGGCGGCTTCCCACTCAGCATGCCTGGCGTCCTGACTAATTTCCCTCAGAAATTAGTTATGTAAATGCTCAGAAATAGAACTTTTGAGACCTTCTGGTCTCACAGGTCTATTTGGGAAGGAGGTGAAATTTTGAGTTGGAGCCTTGTGGCTGAAAGTGCAGTTTGGTGTCCTTTCCTCTAGAGGGCGGTGTGTCCCCCCCAGCGCCAGAAAAAATCTCAAGGGGGCGCGGGAGCCCTTAGGGTGGGGTTTCCGGGTCTGCGAGGAGCGTGGGGGCTGCTGCCTCAGCAGAGCTGGGGAAGCTTCAGGAACCACTGAGAGGTGGTTCCAATATATAACTTTTAGAAAATGTGAACGCAGCATCCGAAGTAGATGTACATTTAGAATTTTTTTTCCCTAGCTCAGGCAGGAGCGTAGGGAGGTGAAACGAGGCTTTGAAAGGAGGCCTTCTGCAGGCGGACGCAACGTCACCCCAGGGCTCGAGCCGCGTGAGAGCGTCTAACGGGAGCGTTTGCCTGCACCCCCTAAGGAACGTTTGGCTTACCTGCAGGTGTTTCGGAACCAAAGCACGTTTGCACGTTCCTGCCACGCCCTACCTGGGCAGAAGTTTTGAAATTTATTTATTTTTTAATTTACATTGTGCAGCAATTTTATTTTATTTTTAAAGTCTATTTCATTGATGAGGCTATTACAGTTGTCCCAGTGTTCCCCCCTTCGCCTCCCTCTCCCTCGTAACCCGCCTCCCTCCAGCATTCCTCCCTTAGCTCATGTCCACGGGTTGTGCAAAGACGTTCTCTGGCTTCTCCCTCTCCTGCGCTGTTCCTAACCTCCCCCTATTTTGTACCTACCGGTGATGCTTCTTAATCCCCGCACCTTTCCCCTATTCTCCCCCTTCCCCCTTCCCGCTGAGAACCCTCCACGTGATCTCCATTTCTGTGATTTTGTTCCCGTTCTGCTTCTTTGCTGAGTTTGTTTTTTAGATTCCGTTGTTGATAATTGTGAATTTATTGCCATTTTAGTGTTCGTAGTTTTGCTCTTCTTTTTCTTGTATCGTTCCCTTTAACATTTCTTATAATAATGGCGTGGTGGGGCCGAACTCCTTTAGCTTTCCCTTGTCTGGGAAGCACCTCATCTGCCCTTCCATTCCAAACGGTCGCTTCGCTGGAGAGAGTGATCTGGTTGGAGGTCCTTGCGTTTCATCCCTTTGAACGCTTCTTGCCAGCCCCTTCTTGCCTGCGAAGTCCTTTTTGAGAAACCAGCCAACGGTCGTGCGAGAGCTGGTGGGATGTTAAGAGACGCTGACCCTCTAACTCAAACTTTTCATCACCTGCCCTTGCTAGTTCCTCCCCCTAGGCAACTGTTTGAACATCTTGTAAAGAACGCACACAAACGGCACTTGTGAATGTCGCACGTAAATAGTTGTTCATGAAAAGTAGATCGCGGACGGTCAGGCGCCGGGTCTCGGCTCTGCCGTCCTCTACGCCCGGTGAGCCCGTGTGCTCCACGGCAGGCGCTCGCGGTCCAGTGAGGGGACGCGAACGACCAACCATCGGCCCTTCGTTCCGGTCGGTGAGTATGGTTTCCGTCTGGCTATTTAAAATATCAGAAAACGACCGCCTTGGTGGGTGCTTTCTCCACCCCCTTGACACCTCAGATGATGCAAGGGTGCCTCAGTGGCCTGAGGTCACAGGGCTGGTGGCAAAGCCAAGTCCCACTTCCCCGGGTGCTCCCTCCTGCTGGCGTGTCCCCCGGCCAGGTGGCTGGGACCAGGGCAGCGAGGGGGCGCAGGTCTCTGGGAGGACAGCTTTGAGCGTCATGTGAAGAAAGGCCCTTCTTGGCATTGATCAGTCTTCTGTAGAGGAGCACATTTTAAGTTTATTTAGCAAAGAGGTAATTGTTAAAAAAAAAAAATCTGGAAAGGAAAAGGGAGAAGAAAAATAAGACAAATACGCAAAGTTCTGCCAAACCCTCTCCCAAAGGCAAATTGTTAGTCTTTTGAAGGGGTCTGGCTGCAGTTAGCAGAGCATAATCCAGCTGTTCTCCCAAAGCGAAGACTCCG